ACGCCCGGCACCCCGCGGCCGCTCCCGGGCAGCCACCGGCGGCAAGAGCCGGGCACGGCTTCGCCCCTTTCCCCCTCACCTCGCCACAAGATGGCGGGGGGCGGAGGCGGACCCCCGCCCGGGCCGGGAGAGCGGCAAGGGAGCCAGGGAGGCACAGCCGTCCCGCTCGCCGCGGCCAAAGGTGCCTCGGAGCCGGCTTTTCTCCTCAGGAATCCCTCAGCCCGCGGGACGGGGACGCGCCCGGCGCGGCCACTCACCTGAGGCGGCATCGGCCGGCGCGGCGCGGAGCAGCGGCAGCAGCAGCGGCAGCAGCAGCAGCGGGGTGGCCCCGGCGGCGCTCATGGCCCCGGGGCGGCGAGCAGCGAGCCGGGAGTGCCCGCCGGGCCCGCGGCAGGTGCCGGGGCAGAGCCTCGGCCCCCGCCCCGCCGCCAAACTTTGCCCGCAGACAAAGGGGCAGCTCCGCGCCGCAGCCCGCCCGCCCCCCGCCCCGCCCCGGGCAGCGCTGCGCCCTCCTTCCCTCCTTCCTCCCGGCACCGGAGCCTCGCCTCCTCCTCCTCCTCCTCGGCACCTTGGCTGCGGGGCCAGAGGAGCCTGGCTTCTCCTCCTCCCCCGCCGGCCACCTGGGGATGGAGCAGCCGCCGGGAATCCCGCAGCCCGTCCCAGGCGCGGCAGTGCCGGGATTAGGCAAAACCAACGTGTTTGTGTTGGATCTGACCTCACTGAGTTGATCCATAGCCCGGCGGCTGGAAGGGAGAGGTCACCCTCTCTCCCGCCGGGGTTGGAAGCCTCTAACTTGGGGTGTTTTGGGTGCCAGATTGGGTTGTAGGATTATAAGGAGAAGTTATCAAAGCCCGGTCTGTTCACACGTCCATTTCTTCTTGCCATGCCTGCTGCTTTGCTCTTCCTTTCTAGAGCAAATCCAACTAAGAGTTAACCGCTCAAACTAAAAAAAAAAAACAAAAAAACAACAAATCCCCCCAAAATTCAAGTTAAACTCTTGCCCTTACAGCGTTCTCTTACTTTAAGCACCTCCACACACACAGTTCTAGTCCACTGAAAAAAAGCTTCCCATGTCACCCCCTCTCCAGCACTGCACACTCAACAGATCCCCAACGTTTCCAAATCCAATTCGGCTCCTACGAGTCACAGGACAAAGAAAAACAGCCCCAAGTTCGACGTTACAGCCATTAAACTGCTACGAGCCAAAGCCTCAAATTAAAATTAACTCAGAAAGCGAGCTTATTTTTACTAGTCTATGAATGAAATGTTTTTTTTCCCTGCTAATTTCAGCCTTCCTGCTTCATAGCAGTATCCCAGCTCCCACATAGCAGTAGGTTTGCACAGGGCTGGGCTGCTGCTGTCTTCATCTCCTGCTTGCCTGATTAAATGCAACGATGGCAGCTCAATTTGATAATAATTCCCCGTGGTAATTCCATCTGTTCAGTTCTGATTCACTTCCTAATGAACACTACCATCTCAAACTCCGAGCTGGAGGTCCGATTTCTTAATTTATTTTTTTTTCTCCTCCCCAGGACTGTATGCCTTCAGTCACCGTGCTGGAATTCCCACAAGGAACGGGAGAAGAGAAATGTACAGCGCTCTGAGATCCAAACAGTGATTGGCATGATGAGTTTCTCTCTGCTCTACCCAGTTAATACTCATCAGCCATTAGCAGAGGGTTTTTATAAAAGCTTATTATTAAAAAACCTAAAAATTTATAAAGCTTTTTATAAAAACAGGAGCAGGGAGACACAACAACTACCTCTGCACACACCATCACTGAGCAGAGAAATATTTCATGTTTCTTTCAAACACAGCAGAAATGACAAAAGGAAGAAATACAGGAGTCCCAGTTCCCTCCTAACTCCTCAGGTGAAACTTGACCAAATTCAGAGAAGCACCAGCAAGAAAGAACAGGTGGAAACAATCAAAACCAAGCACACAGAGGGTTCAGTAACTTCATACAAATAACATATTACATCTTTTAATCATTTGTGTTGTTCATCTTCCTGCTGCTGTTCTTTGGACTAGGGAAACAAGTTGTACAAGCCTAGCTACAGCCTCTTCCTCCTCCGTTTCTGCTACCTTCCTTCCTGCTGTCCTGAGAGCACTGCTCCAAAGACACTGTTAAAAGTCAGAAGAACTCAAGACCTCTACCTTACAGAATTTTGCAGATTTACCCATTCCACAGAGTGAAGGGAGAGCGTTTCCCTCATTTCCAGCATTTCTCAAGATTTGCACTGGGCACCAAAGACTTCAGATTTTCAGAAATTCAAAGTTTGGTGAAGTTTTGTCCTTCACATCCTACTTAACACAAAAGCAGCACTTCTGTTTTGATTCTCTTTACAGATTAGCAGCAAATAAAGATCTAAAATAAGCTTCAGGCTCTCTCAGGAGAAATAGGAGATAGTTCTAAGGCTGAAAGCTTGAATGGTGCAACTTGCAAAGCCATGACCCAGCTGTCAGCTGCTGCCACGGATCTTAGAAACACCGGCACAAAAAGTCACTGGGCTTGTAGAAATAAATCACTTTTAGCCCCCCTTTTATCAAACCTCTAGGGCAGGGGTCAGTTTTCTGCAAGCTGGTGTGAAAGATCCCTTTCTCCACTTGGCAAATCCAGAGACTGGAGCCAGACATACCTCGTGTTCCTGGAGAGCTGGGCATGTGCTGGCACAGGCTTCCCCAGAACAGCTGGAGAAACGTGGTTCTGAGAAGGCTCCATCTCTGGAGCAAGTGAACCAGCTTTTATGCAGATTCCCCATTTCCAGAGTGCCTGACAGTTCAATATTTTTCCAGGTTTTAACTGGGTTTTTAACGATTTTTTGAATAAGCCTGTTTAAAATCAACGAGATCAGCCCATGAAAACAATCTGGCATTGCAGTGTCACCTCGTGGGAACTTAACCCAGCATCTCCCAGTACCTGGAGATTTGGGAAGGTTTTCCTCTTGTTTTCCAAGTGGTCTTGGAGGTGACACACTGACAATTCTCCCTTCGTGTCCTGGTGGGATGAAGCCTCTAGTCACCTTCAAGCTGAGGCACTGACAGAAGTAAATGCTTGGAGAAGAACTATGTTTATCCCTAGCAGTGTTTTTAGTCAGCTTCAAGAGCTTTTTGTCCCCCTCTGTCCTATTTCAGTTTTCCCACAGACAGACTTTTGGCATCAGCCTCTCCCAGAATTTGGAGGCTGCCAAGACCAATGGTATTGCAGAGCAATGGATAAAATCATCACACCTAATCATTCAGAACAACCATCTCAGCACTAAAAACCTGCCATCCCTGGTGGCACTTGGAACATCCCTGCCCTGCTCCTCTAACCGTGGCACAACTCGCAGCACAAGCCCCGTGAACTCAGTCTGACCCACAGAAATTCCAGGTTTTTTGCAGTGCCACGAATTCCCCTACAAGTCCAGGTTGAGGCTGAGTGGCAGCTTAAACCCTGCACTCCCCACAACTGCACACAGGTTTCTAGGACAACTTCTTCCTTGTTTGGGCAAACGTTTCTGTGTGTGAACCCCGGCTCTTCTCCTTAGCTAAACTAACAGCAGGTTCAGATAAAACAAATCTAAAAGCCACCATACATCATCTGCGCTGCTGAAGGTGCTGCAGCACTCCCTCTCTCCCACAGTGATTTCCAGAAGCCAGCAACACCGTGCCTAGTGTGACAACTCAAGTGATTTCTGAGGCACGCCGGCCCAAGGACCGCACGTACGAGCTCCCACGCCGCGTGTTTGGGGACTAAGCTTATTAAAGAGGAATCACCTCACGTTGTCTCCCTCCCTTTCATCTCTCCCCCCGTGCCAATCAAGCATCCCAGGACAAAAAGTCGTCACAGTGCACTCAACAGCTTGTACAGCACTGTTTCAGCATGGCACAGGGCAGGGGCATTACTCCTTTAGCAATCAGTGGTGCAGTGACACCAGTCCAGAACTGCGCCTCAAAACTTGCTGAGCTACTTCTCTTGCTCACCTGACCTCCAGAGGTCCAGATTTACTCTGTCCCCACCGTGCTGGGATTTTCCAAGCACAGATTCCTGCAGAAAAGTTGGTTATTCCGTGCTTTTATTCTCTGAGAGAGCACTCAGCAGTCCGAGAGCTTCTGATTTAAGCTCACCTCTACATTTATGCTTAAACATCACTTTTTTTTTTTTTTTTAAAAATCCACCCATCAAAGAGGGCAGGCCTATCTTTTTCCAAAATGGATAGTGAAGTCTTGGAAACAGGCCAAGAGAACAGAGAAAAGGCAAGGAATTCTATGCAGGTGATACCACAAGCTTTGCTTTTCTACACCAACAGGAAACTCACCTTCCAATTGTTCCTTTTGGGTCACAACACACAGCCACTGGAATGCCTCATAATATTCCTTACATGTCTAATGCCTGAGCAATAAAGATATTCAAGTGCACTGGCATTCATTTTCCCACTTAAAACACGGAAAGTCTATTGTATGAAAGCTTCCTATACACACCTAAAGGGATTTTTTTGCTCCAACTCTGAGCAAAGCATCCCACACAACCAAAAATAATCAGCACGGCCTTGACAGGCATTGGCGACCCTGACTGACAGCAGCCAAAGGCTTCAGATGGGAGCTGAAAGAATAATAGGAATGATTGAAAGCCACAAACCTGCCCAAATTTGGACCAGCTCATCCCTGTTGTAAATAGCCAATACTTTCTGGGACTGTCTTACATTTCGGGGTGCAGCTTTACAAATATGTGTTAAGCAACAGAGCCCCCCAAAAAAACCCACCCGAGGAGAAATTCCAACGCCTATCCAGGAGGGAAGGGCGGGAGCGCCACCTCCTGGAAATAAAGCAGAAAGCACCGGGAAGGAGAGCCGGATCTCCAGTTCATACTCCAGCAAACCAGGCGGGAAAATACATCAGAGCAAGTGCACATTCACTGCCACCCCCCCAAAACACATCCAATTCTTCCTTAGAGAAAAGGTCGGTATGGTTCTGGCAGCAGGCTCCTGTTTGTGACAAGGTTAAACCGAATTTACACCTGAAATCCTCAAGTCCCATTTATTTTTTGTTCTCACAGAGCATGATTTGAATGACACCATCTGCTCCCCCTGCTAGAGCAAGGGGAAGACATCAGGTACTAACAGATTCTTGGTTAGCTGGCTTTTGTTCATCTTCATCCACCGCGTTCTCTTCTTTTTTTTCTTCTGCTTTCTCCACCCGAGGCAGGATTCCATCGAGGTTCAGCAGCAAACCTTCACTGGTGGAAGATCTGATAACCAACCTCCGCACAATGGGATCTAGGAAACAAAAGTCCACCACCAAGCTGGTCAGTCCACCCCTCTCCATGTCTCCAGGCTGACTGCTCTCAGAAAATGTTTTCAATCAAGTAAAAGAACACCACAAGAATCAAGCCTGACTCTCCAAATCAGTGGAAAAGCTACTCAGACCAGAAAAGCTAATCCTTAGTTCTGATGTAAATTGATTTAAATTGATTTTAAAAAAAGAAACTAACAATCCAAAACACCCCTCCTGCCATCTACTTATTGTATTGCAAGTCAGGCAACCCCTCAGATTTTATTTAGGCTTCTCAAGGCATGTGTAGTTGGCTTTTTATGGTCTGGTCTCTGCAGCTACTATGAACAGAATCACTGGGAGAGAAGCAAGATGATTCTTCTGGCAGACATTAAGCAAGCAGTAACATAAAAAAATGGGTTTTTAGCTCACACAAAGCTCCTTGCCTAAAATGATTTCACGAATCACCATTTCCTCTACCTATTAGGCAGATGCCCTTTGCTTAAAGCTGGCTTGATTAGTCCTTTGTAGCTCCTTTTGCTCCAGGGGGGAAAAAATCCAGAAAAGAAAAGGGGGAAAAAAAAAAAAAAAAGTCCAGAAAAAAACATCCAGAAAAAAAAACCATCCAGGAAAAAAAACATCCAGGGGGGGAAAAAAAATCCAGGAAAAAAAAAAAAATCCAGAAAAAAACATCCAGGAAAAAAAAATCCAGAAAAAACATCCAGGAAAAACATCCAGGAAAAACACCCAGAAACAAAAACACAGAAAAAAAACCAGAAAAAAAAAAAACAGAAAAAAACCCGAAAATAAACAGAGAAAACCAGAGAGAGAGAGCTTTTCCCTTCGAGGAGCAGGAATTTCAGAGATTCACTTTGAGAACAGAAAGGTAATTTAATGACAATCCAGCAAAGAACATCCATTTCCCACTTTTGTTGGCTGCAACCTGGACAAGCACGTTAGCAGGAGGACTCCTTACCAAAATTTGATGGCTTGAAGGTGCAGATGTCGTGGATAACTGTTTTCAGATTGGCAATGATGTGCTCAGCAGGCATATCCAGCTGCAAAAGGATAATGCCAAGTTAGTTATGGTGATGCTTGGAGCCCAGATGAATACATCAGAAAGCACTGAATACATCTGAAAGGTTATACAGCACTGGGATAGATTTCCTTTGTCCGTGTTCCCTGTGAAGGAGGGACAAATCCCATGGACAAATCCAAGTGACTCACAGAAAATAATTATTTCATACATGCTGATATGGTCTCCAGATTTCTACTCAGGACACCAAATTCCCAGGGCTCTGTAACAACATGTAGCCTTAGGGTGGGGGGTGAGAAGTCTTTAAAAAAAAAAAAATTATTACATGCACAAGAGGTTTTGCAAAAACCTTATTAAAACAGAGGATTTGGGGAAAGAAGCTTCAAGAAGCAGCTGTCAAAGAGCATGAAATGGATCCACTCCAAAAACATCAACACACCTAAAACTGAAGGCATTAAGAGCTTGAATAGAAGGAAACCAATCAAAAGAATCAACTCAGCAGCTCCATAATGAAGACAGGTAATGCTCAGAGGGTTCCAAACACTTCAAAATAGTTCCCACATCCAAATAAATATCCCAGCTTCCAAGCCAGCTTTCCACACGAAATCCTTGTGGATGCACACCGATCCTGATGTTTGAAGTTTTGAACACTGCTCTCCAGAGCAGCACAAGGTGCTGCAAAAAGGTTCAGGTAAGCTGTTTGTTCCCTTTTTATTTCTTAAATAAGTTTGACTCCTTCAACAGCAAGATCCAGAATTCCAACTAGACACAAAAATGCAGACAAGGAAGCCCTTGGGATGCCCGTGCACAGCTCAGAGCAGCTAATCAGAATTCATAAACTCATTTATCTCCAACACTGCCAGGTAAAGCTTCAGGTCTTTCCCACCCCTCCTTCCATGGCCACACTCAAACTAAATATCAGGCAGGATTACAAAGACACAAACCAGAAGGAAAGCAAAAAAACCCCACAGCTTAGGGCAGAGATAATAAATAAAAAAAGTAAAAATGAATGTTCTGTTTCAGGTGTAACACAAACAGTTCTTGCTTTCTACTCCAGCTGATAACTATAGTTATCAAAATTAGAAGTCTTTAATTATTTGGGTAAAGCAAAGACTTTTGGACTTTCCTGTGCATACTGAACACAGACTTAAAAGCTCACAGTTTATCTACTTACCAAAAAAAAAAAAGGAAAAAGTTTACAACCAGCTGAAGATGCCACACAACAAGGAGCTCTATTTCCTTCTTTCTTAAGGTTAGTTAAAATGGTCAATTTTCAGAAAGAGACTGAAAACATGGGTTTTTTTCCCCTCTTTGAATACTACAGCTCTGCTCAGGAGAGAAAAATTTAAGAGCTCTCTACAAAACTTACTCTGGCTATTCTTGTCTTGATTATATCCTCATCCTCTACCGTGTACTCGTGACATTCTCTGAAGAACTGCAGCATTTTGGGAATGTCACTGCCCAGGGAATCTATTGAAAAAAAAAACAAAAAAAGCCAAGAAGTTGTCTGAGTAATGCCCATTAGCACAGATAGGTGTGGAATCAGGAAAGAGATAATTCAATCTGTTAATTAAGGCAAGCAAAGGCCACTCCAAAACGCAGTTTCACAGACAAGACAATGGTGGCCTCACTGAGATGAGAAAAACAGCTCCCCCTGTTCCCTCCTTCCCCATTCATCAGGATCAATAAGCAGGTAAATTTATCTGGGTTCTAATCCCAGATTTCCCTGATGTAGGAAAACACGGATTCCTCGAGTTACCTTGACCTAAAACGAGCGGTGGGGTCGCCCTGCAGCCTAACACCGAATGGAACTACACATCCTCCCCAAAAAAAACATTTCAGTGGCACCCCCGGGGCTCCATCTCCACCAGCAATTTGTAACAGTTGCAACAAAGAACTGCTTCTTACTCCTCTTGCTGCTGGGGTACTTCCTTTTCAGTTTGTTCCTCAGGGGTATTAACTTGGGTATTATGGCAGGGACGGCCACATAGAAATCAGCTTGGATTTCATCCTCCAAGATCTGCAACAAGCACAGTTCAACACATTTCATTCATATCTATAAAAGTGTCCAGGCACAGAAACCCACCTGGCACTCTTCACCCTGGCTGATACTCACTGAGTATCAGGCTTCTCCCCCTCCCCAGGCCCCCATCCTGTTTTAATTAGGATATTTATGGAATTCTTTAAGGAAAATAGGTACCCATTTGATTAATTCCAGTCCTCCCACGATGGCAGCTCCGTGCTCTCGAGCTATTTCAGCTTCTTGCTCATTCTGTCGAGAGAAAAAAAATGAAAATAAAATAAAGTGGTAGCTTGACATTGGTTGGTATTTAGGGAAAGAAGCAAGAAATAAAGGAATCCTTCCATAAATAAAGGAATTTATAAAGAAAATAAAGGAATCCTGGCTCACCCACCTCTGTGAACACCAAAACCTTGTTCACCTCATCCGTAAAGCGATGGGGAAGAGTGACACTGCTGGAAAATGGATCCACTTTTTTCTGGCGAGCAAATAAAAAAATATAATTAAAAAAAAAAAAATTAAAACAAACAGTAAGAAATTATGACTTGAGGGTAAATTATACAATCACAGAGAGTTGGTCCCCTAAATGTGACCAAAAAAACCAAAAATGCCAACGAGGTGAGGGGCTGCAGCCTGTCTTTGCAATTCCCCCCTGTGACAATCCCCAAGTCTGAATGGACCCAACGCCTCCGGAAGCGCCCCAATTCCCAGGCCCCTCTCCCAGCCCACCTTCTTCTGCAGAGCCATATCCAGGAACACATTGATGTACACAAACTGCTTGGGGTGGGTGAAATCCAGCTCCTGGAATCTTTTCAGCATGCCCACGGCCTGCTCCAGCTCGTAGGAGGGTCTCTTGTAGAGCCACGTCAGGTACACATCGTCCACGGGCATGGCCATCAGCCGCCGCCTCCGGGGCGGGGCTTTCTCCTTCACCTTCTCCTGCCTGGGCCTCTTGGCATCTTTTTTGGCAGTTCTAAGAACAAGAAAAGCCAAAAAAAAAAAACCCCACCCAAACTCGTTGTTAAGTGGCTAGCTGGAGGGTTTGGCTAATTATCTCGGCAGCCCGACCCCAGGCAGAACAGGTTTTCTCCTCCCCTTCCATTTGGCGTTCAGCTAAACGCCCTTGTCTCATTCTCCTCCCTGTTTTCAGAGGGTCTCCGGGCGAGGAAAAGAACATTAAAATGATAACTGGATGCTCCATTCCTCTATAAGCAGGGCAAAAGGGGCCTGCAGCACTTGGCAACGCTGTACACAGAGGTCAATTTTGCTTCTCCCAGCCGTGCCGAGTTATTACAGAGATGGCAAACTAAACCATAAAAAGCCATCTGAAGGGTTTGAAACCCATTCCAGGCGCTCACCAGCTTTCACGCCGACCTGTGACCCCGCAAAACCATCAGCGTCAAGCTTTCCCTGTGCCGCTGCCACAGAAAACACTCCCTGCGAGCCCGGGCTGTTCTCCGGGAGCCCGCGGGATGCCCGCAGGGTCAGGCGGCTGCTGGAGCGGCACTGCGGACACCAAACCCGCCCCACACCCCCCAAACACCACCCGCACAGGCCAAGGCAGCCTCCCGGGACGCCGGAGCCGCACTCACTTGGCTGCGGCCGCGTAGGGCCGGGCGGTGGCGGGGCTCACCACGGCGGGGACGGCGAGGAGCTGCTCCAGCCCGGGGAGGAGCCGCCCGCAGCGCGGGGCCAGTGCTGCGGGACAAGAGCAAACACCGCCTCAGACAAAGCGCCGCGGCCTCCCGCGCCCCTGACCCGCCCGGGCAGGATCCCCTCGCCCCCCTCCAGCCCCAGAGCGGCGGTGGAGGCGGAGAGACGCGCGGTGCCCTTGGTCCCTCAGCGCGGCCCCCTCACCTCGCCACAGGCAGCGAGCGCTGGGCGCCGCCATTGCGCCCGGTGCACCCCCGGAACGCTTCCCCGCGGAACCCGCTCCCGAGACCGAGAAGAAGCGTTCCGGCCGCCCGCGGGCCCGCTAGCGGTGTCCCACCTACTGCCGTCCCCCCCGCTCGCCGCGCCCGGGCCTGTCGTTCCGCGGGTGCGGGGTTCCGGTGCCTGCCCGCTGCCCGGGGAGAGGTGACCGATTGCCGGGGGCTGCTTAAAAGCCTTCGGCTCGCTTCTTCACCGGCCTGAGAGGGGCCTCAGGGCAAAGCCGCGCTTGTCTCGTAGCGCTGCAGGACAAACTGGTCCCCCTTCCCCGAAACAACATGGCGGCGGCTGCTGAGGGCAGTCGGAGCCGCGGCCCTCAGACATGGGGGCGTTCACAGCTGCTCAGACGCGTCTGGTCGGGAGAACATTGCTCCTCACACGCTCGGTACTGTCCGCTGCAAGGCACACCTAATTCCAAAATGAGATTTCCTGGCTGCCATCTCACCCCTATTCCCTTGCAGATTGGGTGGGAAAAGAGATGCCTCGTTCACTCTCCTGGAGCAGCATCCGCTTAGAAAGACTGTGGAACCATCTCCCGATCTGTTCGGAGTGGTGCCACAAACTACAATGGTTAAAGGGGGCTTTTATTCCACGCCCATGTGCTTTGGACTAAAAACGTTCCAATCCCGCGGTCTTCCCCAATCGATCTTCGTCCAAGACTTTTGGGATCAGACACGGGTGGCTGTGTAAAAGGAATTGTAACAAAACTCTGTTCATCCAATCCAACTCCTGGCTCAGCATCCTGGGCAAGGACGGAGTGGGGACGTGTGGGGGAAAAGCCTCAGCTGAGGAGTGACGAACACTTGTTTAGAACTCTTGGGGGGGAAATGAAATGATTTTGGACGGGCGTGGGTGGCTCCTGTGGAGGTGGTGGATGTCAGAGGAGACTTCAGTGTGCACCTGTGGCCGGGTAACCCGCGCCCTTCGCCATCTCCCCTGTGAGCCTCCGGCTTTTTGCACGCCAGCTCTCTGCCGTGGACCACGGATTTTGGGAGAAACGCGGGCTCACAGTTCATGGGCAGCCATCCCCAATACCTCACTTTCTCCAAAGCCCGCTTCCTACCAACACCCCTTGCTCCATCGCTGAGCCACGTCCCGCTCTCCGGCCATCAATGAAATTTTTGGGTCCAGCGCGAGCTCACCGGCAGCTGCAGCAGAAAGCAAATTCCACTTAAAAGCCCCAGAGCCTGATGTCTTGTCCCTCCCTGTGCTCTCTCGACCACTTGCTGCTTCCTCAGACACTCCCTACGTCTCCCTGGCGCTTTTTTTATTTTATTTATTTTTTTTCCAGCACCGTTTTCCCACTCGGGCACGCACAGAGCCACATCCCTCCCCGCGCCCGGGCTCGTGTTTTATCTTTCAGTCCACCTTTCCCTCACGCCCATCCTAGCGGGCCACCAAAGGGATGCCGGCGTGTTTGGGAAGCGATGGACTTCAGCACCGGAGCCTCATTTACCTGCACAAGGATCCGTGCCGCTGACACTTGGGCGCCGAATCAAACCCCAGCACCTAGAGGAGGAGAAACAAAGGTGCCAGGCACCGACGGGATGGCCGCACGCTCAAAAACACGGCACACCCCGCCTTCCCAGGTGGACTCTTCCTTCTCCCACCGCAGCGCGATGACAGCCGCGTCCTCGCCTGTAAAACCGGGGTGGGGATGTGGAAAGGAAGGGGAAAACTGCGGGGGTAAAACGGGCCTGGGGAGGGGGTTCCTTCGGGCCCCTGCCGGTGCTGCCGTCTCCCGTCCGTGAGCGCTGACCCGGCCCCGCCAGTGCCCGCGCTCCCCCCGCCGCGGCCCCGGCGCCGCCCGCCGCCGCCTCCCCGCGCCCGCCCCCGTCTCCTCCGCCCTGCGCGCCCCGGCCGCCGCTCCTCCTCCTCTTCTTCCTCCTCCTCCTCCTGCTCTCCGCCGCCGCTGCCGCCGCCGCCGCCCGGGCCCCGCGGCTCCGTCCCCGCTGCCCGCGGGCCGCCGCCCGCATGTCGTGTGCGCCCGCCCCGCCGCGCCGCCGCCGGCCCCGCCGCCCCGCCGCGCCGCATGCAGGTGAGAGCGGCCCCGCCGCCATGTCGGGCCCCGCCGGCAGCGCCGCGGCCGGGCCGCGTGTGAGGGGGCTGCGGGCACGGCCCCCGCCGAGGGGAGATGGCGATCGGCCCCGCGGAGAGGCCGCGGCGGCCGAAGCCGGAGCCGCCCGAGGAGATGCCGCGCTCGCCTCGGGGCCGCGGGTGGCGGCCGT